CAAGTGGCCGATAGGAAAAATGACGCACATGACCATTTACAATAAGTTCGTGAAAAAATCATTGGAATTTTTGAAATACATCTCTACTGTAGTTTTTACTGAAAAGTTTCCGGCATCAGACACATACAGTACTTCCACGGTCTCTTAGAATGCTATTGAAAAAAGGGGAAAACAAAATGTTAGATCCACTTTAAAGAAAACCCTGTTCTGTTTCTTCATCAATTTTATAATCCCGTTCATGTTCTTCCATTCAAAATCCTCTCATACGCAAACTGCATTTCATTTTCTTCAAAATCCTGCCATAATTTTTCGAAAAAGGCTCCTACTAGTCACGGCTCAGGTATTAAAAAGCAATTATATTCGTGTTGACCACTCAACTAACCTGTAGGTCAGAACATCTCCAATTTGTGGTGTATCCGTCCCCGTTAGCTTTGTTAGGACGAACTGCGTATCTGAAGCTGCTGTACCTGCCGCCTACATCACAAAACCGCAAGTTATTTCCGCACGATTTTGAAAAAAAAAGATTTGAAAATTACATACTTTTCGTTTCTCTCTCACGAGGACATCGTCCGGCCTTCCGGAAAAATAAGAGAATATCGGAGTGATTGTCATTGTTGTGGGCTAAAAATGTTAATGGAAAATTCTCACCTGACATCTCCTAGCCCGAAGCCCATGTCATACATCGGGTCGGCAGCTTAGGATGGGAGCAGATTTATTTTTCGTCTTTGCAAAATACTATGCTTTTTCAAAAACTCACCCCATGTCAAAGCTGTTTGTAGAGTGACGAGGGCTATTAAACTTCTTGGGAATAACATCATCGAAATTTACGCTGCACTCAGTTGGGTTCGTCCGTGAAAAATCGAAGCACAGTTACAGCGAAACCTTCGAACCTGGATATCACGAAGATCAGATTATTTCAATATCTCGTTTATTTGCTTTTCGCGCATCTGAGGTTGAATTTCAGGTTGAATTTGAGAATTGTTGGTCGGTAGTCATGAAGACTGGGCTGAACAAGGAGAGTAGCAAAGTTTCGAACCATCTCCAGGATGGACATACATATATCCTGTGGATATTCTTTAAAAATATACGCGACATTTAGATTCACCCCAAGAACATTTTTAAGAAAAAAGATTAATGCAGCAACAGATTTGGTCACGATCGTCTAAGTACATTACTGTACTAATTTTTCGATGTTCGCCTTTCTGGAAGCAGGTACCAAACCCTTTTGCTAGTTGGGGAAGTTTCCTATTTTGGCATTGAATCATCAAATATTCATCCCTGTTATTAACCTCTATTTCTGCTCTTAACCTCTATTTCTGCTCTTAACCTCTATTTCTGCTCTTCACCTCTATTTCTGCTCTTAACTTAAATTCCTTGCTGGCAATTTTTGGTGCTGAAATTTTATTTGAAAGGTAGGGAAACCTAAAAAAATATATCTGTGACACGGGAAGAATTAATGACTCCCAGAAACCCCCAACGGAAACTTCATCGAAAGTGACGGAAACAAATATTTTTGAGATACTACTGAAATAAAAGGTAGAACTCAGCTGATGAGCATAAATGACAGAAAAATCAACACATACAGGTATTAAACTAAAAAAAATTTCGGATTTTAATCGCTGTATATTTCAGACTATGAGGTTTGAACCTTACCCCTTTTTCTAAAGCAAAGATTGAGCGTATGCCAATGATGTCAATCCTGACAACGCGAAGTGAAGCGAGAGAATCAGTCACGTTTGATGAATTACGACTTTCTTATCTGAATGTGATTTAAAAGATTTAAAAAATTATTTTTTCCATCACAGGATGCTTAAAATTTGACGAAAAACCTTCTTAAGAACGATCACTATTTATCATAAGCAAAAAGGAAGGAACCGGTTTTTCACATCGCTTTGTTGAAAAAACACCGAGTGACAGACGGTTTCTCAATTTGATTTTAGCACTATTTTGAGCGAATCTGTCCGGAGTATATCCAGACTTTGGAATCCTCGAGAAAGTAATCAGCATTTTTTTCTGCATCCGTCATTGCATTTTTTTGAATTTCCAAAAACTCGATAAATTAATTTTCCACTCCAAATTTGGAACTTAAAACTCATTTTGATATGCGCATGCTGTTCGTCAGATATCCTTATGAATCCCCGTTCCTTTTACAAGTGCAAACAAAAATTCACAAAACCCACTGCACAGAAATATTTCAAACGAATTTCCACGCATTAATATTTCCGCCCCGATTTTTATTCCATGCTCATTATAATGACAGATGTAAATCATCATTAGGCTTGCTGAAGATCAAATTTCTATATCTATTATTTTTTTATGCCTCGAGCGCACACGCATGTGAACCGAATTCTTTCGCGTCCAGCAATTCCGGTCATTCTGAAGAAAATCCAGGAAGTTTAACGGAACTTGCATTTCATGGATAGCCACTTGGTTTTTACTCCACATTTGGATATAATTGTACTGGTTCCTACGTGGACATAAAGGTAAAGTTTCACCGCTGTGATTACCTTGACAACCCAAGTCAATAGTTTCTCGTCGTGTTTCCGTTGNAATATTGTATAACCGTAAACGACGAAATAATCTTCAAGATGTTTCCGAAGTGCATGAAAATGCCTTCCTCGATATGAACACTGAGCTCGCAATATTAACCGAGATAGCAGCGGCGCCTTCAATCTTTAAATTTTTATAATTTTTGCACAAAACCCTACAAGTGGCCGATAGGAAAAATGACGCACATGACCATTTACAATAAGTTCGTGAAAAAATCATTGGAATTTTTGAAATACATCTCTACTGTAGTTTTTACTGAAAAGTTTCCGGCATCAGACACATACTTCCACGGTCTCTTAGAATGCTATTGAAAAAAGGGGAAAACAAAATGTTAGATCCACTTTAAAAAAAACCCCCTGTTCTGTTTCTTCATCAATTTTATAATCCCGTTCATGTTCTTCCATTCAAAATCCTCTCATACGCAAACTGGATTTCATTTTCTTCAAAATCCTGCCATAATTTTTCGAAAAAGGCTCCTACTAGTCACGGCTCAGGTATTAAAAAGCAATTATATTCGTGTTGACCACCCAACTAACCTGTAGGTCAGAACATCTCCAATTTGTGGTGTATCCGTCCCCGTTAGCTTTGTTAGGACGAACTGCGTATCTGAAGCTGCAGTACCTGCCGCCTACATCACAAAACCGCAAGTTATTTCCGCACGATTTTGAAAAAAAATTAAACTTTTAATGTATGAAAAGCAAAGAGAGAGTGCTCCTGTAGCAGGCCGGAAGGCCTTTTTATTCTCTTATAGCCTCACTAACAGTAACAACACCCGATTTTTACAATTACCTTTTAAGAGTGGAGACATCTCCTAGCCCGAAGCCCATGTCATACATCGGGTCGGCAGCTTAGGATGGGAGCAGATTTATTTTTCGTCTTTGCAAAATACTATGCTTTTTCAAAAACTCACCCCATGTCAAAGCTGTTTGTAGAGTGACGAGGGCTATTAAACTTCTTGGGAATAACATCATCNGCAGCTTAGGATGGGAGCAGATTTATTTTTCGTCTTTGCAAAATACTATGCTTTTTCAAAAACTCACCCCATGTCAAAGCTGTTTGTAGAGTGACGAGGGCTATTAAACTTCTTGGGAATAACATCATCAAAATTTACGTTGCACTCAGTTGGATTCGTCCGTGAAAAATCGAAGCACAGTTTCAGCGAAACCTTCGAACCTGAATATCACGAAGATCAGATTATTTTAATATCTCGTTTATATGCTTTTCGCGCATCTGAGGTTGCATTTCAGGTTGAGATTGAGAATTGTTGGTCGGTAGTCATGAAGACTGGGCTGAACAAGGAGAGTAGCGAAGTTTCGAACCATCTCCACGATGGACATACATATATATCCGGTGGATATTCTTTAAAAATATACCCAACATTTAGATTCACCCCAAGAACATTTTAAAGAAAAAAGATTAATGCAGCAGCAACAGATTTTGTCACGATTGTCTAAGTACATTACTGTACTAATTTTTCGATGTTCGCCTTTCTGGAAGCAGATACCAAACCCTTTTGCTAGTTGGAGAAGTTTCCTTTTTTGGCATTGAATCATCAAATATTCATCCCTGCTATTAACCTCTATTTCTGCTCTTAACCCCTATTTCTGCTCTTAACCTCTATTTCTGCTCTTCACCTCTATTTCTGCTCTTCACCTCTATTTCTGCTCTTAACTTAAATTCCTTGCTGGCAATTTTTGGTGCTGAAATTTTATTTGAAAGGTAGGGAAACCTAAAAAATTAAATTTGTGACACAGGAAGAATTAATGACTCCCAGAAACCCCCAACGGAAACTTCATCGAAAGTGACGGAAACAAATATTTTTGAGACACTACTGAAATAAACGGTAGAACTCAGCTGATGAGCATAAATGACAGAAAAGTCAAAAAATACAGGTACAGTATTAAACTAAAAAAAAAAATCGGAATTTAATCGCTGTATATTTCAGACTATGAGGTTTGAACCGTACCCCTCTTTCTAAAGCAAAGATTGAGCGTATGTCCAATGATGTCAATCCTGACAACGCGAAGTGAAGCGAGAGAATCAGTCACTTTTGATGAATTAGGGCTTTCTTATCTGAATGGGATTAAAAAGATTTTAAAAAAAGTTATTTTTCTATCACAGGATGCTTAAAATTTGACGAAAAACCTTCATAAGAACGATCACTCCATTTTTCATAAGCAAAACGGAAGGAATCGGGTTTTCACATTGCTTTGTTGAAAAAACATCCGAGTGACAGACGGTTTTTAAATTTGATTTTAGCGCTATTTTGAACGAATCTGTCCGGAGTATCCAGACTTTGGAATCCTCGAGAAAGTAATCAGCATTTTTTTCTGCATCCGTCACTGCAATTTTTTGAATTTCCAAAAACTCGATAAATTAATTTTCCACTTCCAAATTTGAAACTTGAAACTAATTTTGATATTCATGCTGTTCGTCAGATACCCTCATGAATCCGCGTTCCTTTTACAGGTGCTGACAAAAATTCACGAAACCCACTGCACAGAAATATTTCAAACGAATTTCCACGCATTAATATTTCCGCACCGATTTTTATTCCATGCTCATTATAATGACAGATGGAAATCATCATTCGGCTTGCTGAAGATCAAATTTCTATATCTATTATTTTTTTATTCCTCGAGCGCACACGCTTGTCAACCGAATTCTTTCGCGTCCAGCAATTCCGGTCATTCTGAAGAAAATCCAGGAAGTTTAACGGAACTTGCATTTCATGGATAGCCACTTGGTTTTTACTCCACATTTGGATATAATTGTACTGGTTCCTACGTGGACATAAAGGTAAAGTTTCACCGCTGTGATTACCTTGACAACCCAAGTCAATAGTTTCTCGTCGTGTTTCCGTTGACAACCTGGTTCAATGCAGGGGAAGTCAAAAGAAATGCGTACCCATCGCATGACTGACCGAATTTCCATTACAGGAAAACCTTTATCAGCCTTTGGTAATACGTGTTCTCGCAGTTCATCGATATCAGAATATTTCCCCCTATTTTTTAGCAGTTTTACGAATGAAACGATGAAACAGCTGTACACAGTAGACATGAGTATTCATCTTCCGAATTTCATTGAATTACCTTGATTTACTTGAGGACCACGCGCACCTTTTTCTAAAAATTGAGAGGGAAAAGAGGGGGTGCGCGTCATAAACGGATATACATTTTTGAAAGTATAATCCCAAAAATTAGGTATGCATTATTTGTTATTCTAATGGAAAATTTTGGATCGATTTCAACAGAAAAACCTACTACTGTATGAGGGAAATAATTGAGAATTAGTTGAATTCAGGATCAAATCATGCCGAAATCCAAACTCAGGTGTTACTATTCATGAAAACTTGCAGTTTTAGAGCCACTATAAAAATAGGGTGCGCGTGTTACTCGGGGATGGAATTTTATTTTTTTTAATTGGCTGGAAAACCCTGGGGCGCGTCTTACCTGAGGGCGCGTGGTACTCGAGTAAATACGGTACATGTCTCACAATATGCAGTGGTGCGTATATCTGGTAGATCAAAATGATTGTTCTGTTCCAACCAGCTCGAGTTTAAAGCAGTCGGCTCTCTATCTCTCCACCAGCAAATACAATCATAATGGCTTTATAGTCGAAGATTGTAGAGAAAATGACTCCACTTTTCAGTCCCTGCTACCGTCTTTGGAAGTCAACTGCAGCTCTCCTGGGATTGACGGGTGCGGTGAATGACTTCTCCCTCTGCATTTTTCAAGCAAAGAGCATTGTCACGAGGCCCTAGACGAGGAAAGACTTCCCAGGAAACAATTCGGGACTACAGTACAATCCATACGCTTTCAAGCTTAGACTCGGGCCATACGCATTTGCGGAACAACCGAAAGCCACGTTCCACTTGGCACATAAAAAGGAAGGTGTAACCCCACGCAGCAGTGATTTCTGTAGATGCCACAACTATTCTTGCAACCTTTTTATTTATTTCATATAATATTTGAAAAGCTTCAATAACTGTGAATATACATGCAGTCGCGTATGCAAGTAGATGGCGTACTGCAATCTCGATGCCCCAGGACACGTTAGATACTGAATAACGTGCAGCATCAATATGGAATCACAAATGAAGGAGAAATAATCAAACCCAAAAGCATTTCACCAAAGATTTTATCTTTTAAATGTTGTGCTGCACTCGACCTTTATTAAAATATAACACTCGTTATGAAATGCTTCAAAACGGTTGCAAACGAAAACTGACAAAAATGAAATTTATAACACAAAAAGAAAAATATCCTGCCTTTCAATCAAATTCACAGACTCATATAAAATCACAATAAACTAGTTAATTAGTGCATCTTATATATTGGGAAGAATTTGATATCTTTGTATCCAGTGAAGGGAATTTCCAATCCTTACATTTTAAAAATAAACTCTTGCTTGAATTGAATAATGTGCAAAATTTTGAACCAGAAGAAGTAAATTGACTTTCAAACTTTATTCTTTGTCTTGAACTGTCTTTTCTCGAACACTTTGATGAAGAACATTCAAAATGAAGATCAATCGAATTTATTTTTGAAAATCGTCAACTTTAGTTGCATTTGTGTGACCGGTGAACTCACAGTTGGAATATAAACCCAAACAAGAAAGTTATCGTTTATACAATGATGGGTTTTTAATAAATGAGATACCATTACGTGTGCAATTTATATTCCGCTAACAGTCAATAACTCATTTCCATTGTTTCGAGTGATATCCATGGGTTGTCTGAACTTTTGAAAATACGTATACTATTCATCCTATACATCTTACTGAAATTGTATCTTTCATTGTTACGATTAATCTCGGAAAGTATGATTAAAAGGTACGAAATGCATGAAGAAGACTTTTTAGGTAAACGTGAGGACACTAACCTATTTCATTCCCCAACACAACACTGAAAAACTCACTCGTAGTGATATGAGTAAAATAATTAAAAGCATATCGTTGCAGTAGCTTAGAGCCCAACACGATATAATACAGTATTTTTCAAACCTGAAATCGCTACGCTTCTTGGTCTTGAAGTAAAGTATTTTCGACATTTGATGCCCGGAAATCCTTTTTTCTCTCTCCCTCCACCTCTATAATCAAACTAAAAATTTTGGAAATTGAAGGGAGAGAGAAACTCATCAGCAATGTAATTTCCCATCTGCTTCCAAGAAACACGCACGATAGAACATGTTCATGCCTACTCACAAGCAGAGTTTACCGTACTTTACAGTCGACTTGCTTATATTTCAAATGGTTAACGCTGTCCAGGAACAATCGAAGTTCACCGGGACTTACGCGGGTTACCACCTGCTAAACACTGCTGACCCTCAACGGAGGGAACAATACTGAAGCTCAGCAATCGCGCTCAACTCACATGCATGATGGTGCGACACGGCAATTTCGAAAAATCGCGCCTGCGATCAACGGAAGCGTGAGATTCAGATCACCAGCATGTAACACTTATTCCTAGTACGCTTTCCATTCAAAAAATTGCCCCAGTTGACAATGCTATATACATATCAAAGGTAGAAACACTTGTGACAATTCAAATAGAGCGGAAATCTTGACTTATATCTTCCTCACCGTAGACTTCAAGTTGAAAATATTTTAAAATTTTGGGGTAAATCCCCCTGGGATATCGGTGTGATTATGAAGAAGAAAAATGTACAGTATGCTACCGTAAAAATGGCCCGGGATGATGGAATACTTTCATACGAATTGAAAATCGGTATATGCCCTAATCTCCTAAATAAATAAAAATATCTTATTCGTATCTAAATTCCTCACCAATTTTCTGGATTGAACATGCCAATCTCTGCTGCCTGCCGAATAACTGAATTAAGAGAACTCGTTTCATTTCCAATTACTGTATTATGATTTCATCGGTTGTGAACTGCAAGTTCCTTTTCAAGATCATATAGATGCAACATTTATTCCCGGAAATTCTATTCCATAATCGAAATGACCAGCACTAGAATCTCATTTCTAAGAAAGCGTTTGTTTCGTGACGCGTGAAATGACGAAAGAGACCAAATCTTTAATTAATATTTGCAAAACATTCGAGGAAGTTCTTCTTCGGTGCATGGGTTTTCCACTCTTCATTTCCGGACTCATCACACCGAAGTTGCAACCTTGTGTTTTGTGCTTTCTTAGTGGCGCAAAAACAGCGTGGTTGGTGCGTAACCAAGGCATGTGGACAGGTCACCATAATTTTCCTGATGGTTTTCGCTCCTATCGATTCTTTGCGTCGGCAAGGTTGACCATATATTCATAACACAGTATTCCATTGGCTGCGATTCCATACGAGCTGCGCAATTGATGCTGGTTACATACAGCAGTTTGTTCATAAAATGCCCTGCATGACCTCTGCTTAGCTACATTTTAGGCACATGTCGTTAATCAATAATTAATACAATACCGTATATATAGCTATTTTCACCGGGTTACCGGTAGCAGCTGCACGGGTTTCCACATATTTTCACTTCCAGCGTGAGCCGTAAACTTTTCATAGCGTCGAGCACATGTAATTATCATAGTTCTTAAGAAAAATATGACACGTAATCCCTTTTATGTTTGGATTGCTATTGTTTTCCAAGCTTGAATAATCACCGCATGAGACCTATCCCGAAGCTTTCAAGATTTCATGAAACTTCAAAAATTCATGTAAGAGAATGTTAGCACATCATTAAAATGTTTTCTATTCAGCACAAAACCTTCGTGAAGTGCAAGTATTCAAGGTTTTACATAATTGAAACTTCACATACAGCATAACAGGGTGAAATAGTCCAATGTGGAGTCCAATGTGGAACCAAATATAACTGTACTGCATATTTCGCGAAGTTAAAGCTACCAGCACTGCACAAAAATCTCTGATAAAATCCTTTCAGTACTTATTCGGAAGAATGTTATGGATTATCCAACTTTTTTGCTATTAACACAAGTACTGTAACGTATTTCGGAATTAAATAGAACTATCGAAAAATTGTCCGGTAAGTGCTTTTCTGGTCAAATTTCACCCCTTTCCATGATGGTTGTCAAAGTTCAGCGTAACTTGAAATTGTTCCGCCTCACCTTTCAGGATTTTCGCTATCATGTCCAAATAATCATCTAAAAATCATATCCAATTTTTTCACCAACAGTGTGAAGCGATTATTAACATGAGGCAGCTGGATTTAGCGTTCTTGCATCAGCAGTTCCCTTCATTTTCATTTAGCGATAAGAAAAATGACGACTATTTCTGTTATTTTATAATTCATCTCAAATTTCATTGAACTGATGAACTGTTGAAATCAAAGTTATCAATATTCTTTCACCAAATGCTCGCGAGAAGGCACGAACTCTGGGGAAATTTTCATGAACTAATGGCATATATTTTATACAGTACATGAAATGAAGACGTTTCAAGAGTAAAATCAAAAAATATGGGAAATTCGGGATCTAATTTTCTCCGCAATACGCTGCAAAAACACAATAGGTTCATTATCATACAATTTTTCACGTCTCCGTTAGCCCGCTTTGGGCTTTCTGCTGGTGATTCTTACTGAACTACAGTACAGCGAATGTTAAACGAAGGAAACAAATTTAGCTCAACTGGACGGGAAAGCCAGAAAGATGATTCCACAAACTTTTGTTGAACCCCAATTATGTCTTAAAACGGAACGATACTTGCAGTATACGTACGTCATCGAGGTAAATGTCGCTTCCATCCACGTGCACCGACCGTTTGTTTCAACGCAGGCTAGCCGTCGTGGTCAAGGAAACGTTGGCATTGAGCCCATTCTGATGCGCAAACTTACACTAAGGCAATCTCGCCCATATTCATAACAGGCGACCGCCGATTTACTATACAGTATACTCTACCTGGTCGACGGAAATTCTTTTTCATTTCTTGGCTTACATGTAGCGTCAAGTAAGGGGTGTTTTATTCATGTTCGTGCATGACATGAAATTGGAATAAAGTGAGTTGCTTGGCTATAGATTGAAACTCAGGCCTGCTGCATTTTTATTACAATGTACCGTATTCTCTACAAATGTTTGGTCTTTGGCGATGAACGGCATGTCTATAACTCTATACTGTTGGGGATTGGGGCGCGTGCCCTTAAAAAAAAAAATTATTCCACCCGCAAAAACCGGTGCTGGGCTTCAAGAGCCTCATAGCACCAACCCCCAATAAACCTTGAAAACCTGCACTACAATGCTACACAGCATTGTCTTTGACTTTGCGGTAGCTAGGCAATCAGAACTGTATTATTTTTCCTAACCTTTTCCAAGAACAAGTTCAGCAAAACCCTTCCTAAAGAATGCATAAAAGCCTCAAAAATCAGAAATCAATAATTCATTCCTCCATCAGTTGCTCATTCCGATTCTAGCCTCTCATTTCTCAGCAAAATCGTATGTCAATCACCCAGACCGATTCTCTGAATGCTTCAGTGGTTTATGTGCCTTATTTTATGTGAGTTTAATTCTCTGAAGATGCCGAGTTGTTTTGGGACAAGAATAAATCCAAGTTCTTGGAGCCTCTATAAAGACGCTCCCAGCCTGCCCCAGACTGATTATTTGGTCTGTTTGTTCTGTCTGTTTGGATTGTTTGGACTTTCAATTCTAATCACTTTTATTTTTTAAGAAACTTCTAATCCCATGGTCCCTGCGAGAGGAAATAAACGAAAGAAGCTGAAATTTGCACAAGGAAGTCTCTTATATAGGAAGGAATGCATGACGTCCAAGGAAATTCTCTTTGGATATTCACTCTTCTGAAAAATCAGAGTTTAGGCTTCAATGTGGCACGTATCATGCAATTGAAAGCTATTTACAAGGTAACCGCATTCAGAGTATTTCAAGCTTCTTGATCTTTCCTTTCAGGCAAGGCCTAAATTTTATGCATTCAGGTTTTTGTGCTGCATGACGTAGCTCATAAGATAAGCTCTCAAAAGCACTTTCAAATTAATATAATTCTAGAAAATAAAATCAGGGGCCCTGCATGGAGTAAAAGGTACTGCAGTAGGAACACAGCTTGGCATTATAGGAATTAACACAGTATATACGGCAATAATATGTTGTGCCTCATGAAGTTCGGCTGCAGGCAAAACTGCTTGTCTCCATGAGCAACAAAAACACTTCATTGGCAGATTTGAAGATTGGCAATTGCACCTTTTGTAAGAGCGGGTCGAGGACGAAACTACAGAATGAAATTTTGAAAATGAAGTGCACTCCGCGCACGTTGAAAAATAGCAAAGCCACAAACTTTTTCGATCGTTAAGCAATGAGTAGCTGATTCAATGTCACTTACTTTTATTGAATAAAATTAAAAAAGGAATCGATTCAGGTATGAAAGGCTGAAATAAATGTGTCTTAAATAATTATTATACTGTGATGCGTTCAGAGCTTCGCTGCAGGGTACAATAACGTCCTTTCTGCCACGATGATTTCTTGGTTCAAAGAATTCCCTGGTGATGATTTTCTGTCTGAAAAGCTTACCGATTTCACGCATGTAGTGGAAGAAAACAATACCAGGACAGGAATTCACGCTCAGGATCCTGGAGCAGCTCTGCTCAACAAGGAGAAACATTGTGGGCGAGGATTCGCAATAAGGAAGCTGTCCTTTTTACGAGTTTCGTTTTTTTCCTGATTCACCTCACCTCTTTCTTTCAAAAACGTGATATACCATGGCTACTTTTCATGGAAATCATTTTCTCCTTTTTTTATGTACTGAACATCATGCTGAACGTTTTCACAATCAGATGACTTTTTTTATAAAACGAAAACCCACGCAATGCGTTGCCGAGACTTCGGAATTACTGGGCTATATTTTATACGCACAAGAAAAGTAGGGAGAAATGTTTCTTAGTCGCGGGATGTCTTGCCCTAGGAGAGAAAAAAAGAGGAAAAAACTGCAAGCTTCCGGAGGTTCCAGTGCTCCATAGTTTTATTTGAATCGTTGATGCATACCAGCGAATCATTCAGCAGCGCCGCAAGCGGAAGGCTGCGCATAGCGATACATCGACGCGGATGCGACAAAAAGAGAAAAGTTTTTCCCTCGGGACTCACGCTCACGCATTATCAATACGAAGTCGCGGAAACCGAAAAAAAATATATAGTCAAGCCATGGTTTATCAGCAGTGCATTTTTTTTTCTTCTTCTCACGTGGGCGTCAAGCTCTCCGTGAGACCCAAGGGTTCCACGTCTCAGCCAGGCTCAACCGCGTCACCTGAAAACCTATAGGAGCCGCACGATGCCTGGCAGCATCTATTGTCAGATCTGTATTTTTTTTTCCTCGTTGAAGGTTGAATCGGAGAAAAAGAGAGACGGGATTTGAAAATAATAAAAAGCCCGGATGATGGAAACGAACATGCCAACATCGCGATAAGACTACTCGTACGACGCTTTCCTCAAGTGACTATAGTCCTCTGCATTCAGCTCTACATCTGTTTCTTGTCGCTGCAATTCTAAGCGATGCTAGTGATGACAAGCATTCCCAATTAACTAGTGAACAACAAAGATTTATGAAGCATTCATTTCATTACAGCTGCGTAAATAATGGTTAGATTCACCCCCAGGAATCTCGGGTTCCTCTGCGCAATGCCCCGGATGGTCGTTTGATATGAACCTGGTACATTCACAGAGATATGTTCCATTTCAACATGTTAGACTGAGCTCGGCGATTTTCCGATGGTCTCGTAAATATCCCAGAGGATTGCGCAGAAAATTCGAGAATCCCAAGACTAAGCAGGTGATTCTTTTTTTTTAGGAAAAATGGACCCCAGAGAAGCTTTAGGAAAGCTGGTTGAGGCCCGTCTGAACCCTCTACAAGGGTCCGAAACTAATTCAAAAACCCTCGCCAAAGGAATTTTCGGGATCCTGAATTCCTCCATCGGTTCCCAAAGTTCGGATAAGACAAGGAAAGGGAACGGATTCCCTCGCGATTGACGGGAGTTGCAGAATTTTTCTCTTGCGGCGAATTCAGGAGGAACCGAAAATTGTTTCTGACCAGCCAAAAAATAAGTTGTCGCCCTTCGATGGGATTTTGTGGAACGGTGAAAATATGCGATGATTTACTCTCACTTAAACGTTATGGAAGACTCCGGTATTTTTTTGGTTTCTTCTTTCGGTTTTCTTTTTTCGTATCTTCTCTTGCATGCATCTAGTTTCCAAGTACAGGTTCTAAATGTCTTCATGCCTTGATCTTCCAGCTCACTCGCTGTATGCTCAAGCCTACGAAAGTTTTCGCATTTTTTTCTACCGAACTCTAAAGGTGATCAGGAGAAACGTTTTTACATGTTGGGCTTCGATTCTTATAAATGTTCAAAAAAAACTGTAGAAAGATCAAGCTGATAGAATCTTTTTTGTGCTTACAAGACTAATCTTGAAATCCATTCATTGCAAACTTTAAAATTGTCGAAGAAGGAAAAGAGGTTTTGGCATACTGGGAAAGAGATTGAAACGAGTTGCCGCGTTAGATTGGGACATATTTTTCGCAAATAGACGTGAACGCCTCAGCTACATTTACCTGCATTTTTGCAATGCAACTCGTGTGTTTTAAAACTATTAAGATTAAATAAAATCTTCAAGGCATGTAAATTATTCAAGTTATTCACGCTTAACGATTTCTAGTGTCTCTTGAATCGCCAACAGAACACAAGGTGAACACTTTTTCAACCTTTGAGGAAGACGTTTCTTTAGACTCTCATGTACAGAGCGGGATTAATATCTGAGAGGTTTCCGGAAGGCTTTTCTAAAGGAGGAAGACAAGAATTATGATTATTTTATTTTACGTCACCTGGATTGAGGACAGGGTCTAAAAGCGGTTCTCCAATGCTGATCAACCTTGGCGAACCCTCAAGAAGCTTGGCGGGGTAAACTATACACGGAGGGAAAAACGAGCCTGGCTCTGGTTACACGGTGAATCACGTCTGAGAAGCGTTTCTAGTTACAGAATTACACGAAACACGGTTGAGGCGAGTATGGATGTCGCGGGCCGGTCAAGTGGCGACACCTGGGTCAGTCTGTCACAGGCGTCCGAAACGGCCCAGGAATGTCTCCTGCAAGGGCTCTGCTCATAGTTTACAGCAGACATCCGTCGGCCCTGTCTTTGCCTGGCATTTCTTTTCTCAACTCCAGGGTTCATTTGGACGAGCGATAACCCCAAGTGAATTATCACGACCTCAAGTACTGTACATAAATTACACACCTATATAAATCTGCCGTCATTTGAGACTATTGTACTTTTTTCTCGGACTTGGAGCGCTTATTGAAAAGCGTATCCAGAAATAAACGAGAAATAATCCGACGGATTGCTAGCAATGCGGCATCAAGAGTCCGAACGGAGAGCAGCAATTCAAAGTCTTGAGAGTCTTTTGGAATGGTCAGTGAGTTGATATCAACATTCAAGAACTATACAATTGTAAAAAATTCCAGTGAGATGAAAACTGGGATAGCAGAGTGTACACTATGATCTTGTTGAATTTTGCTCTTTTTAAATCGGAATCTTTTCAAGATTCATTCGCCCAAGTGAACTCTGTGGTCTCGCTATATTTGAATAAGCCAGAAAAATTTCTTTCCGCCATTTCTCAAGTTTGACGCATTAGTGAGGGATTTTCTACAAGCAAACGCCCACAAGCAATCTCAAACACCCATATTTACAGCACACACAAGCTCCAACCACGAAAAGTGGAGTACTTAAGCTATGATACATCAGATTCAACACTCATTACCCATTTACGAGACGATGAAAAGCGAATTGCCTGAGGGCGTTTACGGAAAACGGGGAACATGGAGCAAGTTCAACGCCGTGACAAAGATTAGCCGACGCGGAAAGCAAACAACTGCTGACGGCAAATTGACGAGAGAAAATACGCGAATGGAAACCCTTTAACCTTGCCAAATATAAATTCCTTTCCGGTGACTCCGAGCTCTCCACAGAGATCATATGTCCGAATTCCCAAATTGATATTTCCTTTGTCCAATATGCATTGTGGTTAGAATGCCCGAGGGAATGGAGTGAACGTAAAGCACAAGTCGACTATAGGCGGTTCCAGCTGCCGTGCTGCAAAAATACGTAGCAGGGTGCTGCTCCGGGAGCTGGTTGAAATCGCCGGGGGTAACAGGGGGGTAACATACAGCGCGTCACGTCAATCACATCTCGTTCGCGGATCAGAATCCCATGCAAATGTTTTACTGTACGCCAAGAGGGTTGCCCACTGAATGCCTAGGAAGAATATGACCTGGGCTGCGCGGGTTTGCTCCCGACGCGACGAAATACTCAAGACAAAGGTCACGAGTTCGACTCCTACCGCGGGGATCCCCGAAATCTCTTTGCAAAAATTAATGTTCAGCGTGGACTGAATATTTCTCCGTTGTTCCTCAGAGAAACGATCCAAGGTGTCTAAGCATTCTGATGCAAGATCATCCCTGGTGTCCCCATTTCGAGTATTTCTGCATCAGGCTCTAAAATCCGATACCGAAGGCGACATGTGCGCCAAAAAGTAGAGGAGCCTGGTCTCATAGGGAAACTTAGCAGAAATAAAGCGTTTCGCTGGTATCGCTTCGGCAATCAGCTCTAAGCTTGACGCAAGTCGATGACGAGGAAACTAACAGAAAAGTAAGCAAGGCTTCATTCAACCATTCAACAATTTTCAAAGTTTCATGTTCAACTCATCAAGATAAGTTGCTTTGAATGCTTTTTCTTTCAAGCGTAGGCTGCCGGCGATTTTCCCCGTCAATATTTTAAATGCAATCGATAATTTGGGATGATTTCAACGGGCATTCAGTTTACTGCAAAGTGCGTCGCTGTTTAACGCGCTAAAAAATCCTGACGAGTCTTAATTTCTCCCCAACTTAGTCATTTCAACATCGTGGAAAGGATCAAGATTGAAAGTTTCCGGGGTTCTTGTTCTTCGAGAAGATTGAGGGTTTTACTTCGGCGTGTGCTATGGTCTTACCTTTGACCGGCTTATCATTCTCTTATGATGGACATGTCAGAAATCTTTGTCGCAGGCTTCTACTTTCAATGAAGATATGCAACTTGCAAATTCGCACGAAACGACATCTGAGAAAGCGCCTTCTCGAGGCAACGCGCCGACACAACCGGACATCAAACAAGAAGAATACACGACACACAGGACACCCGGAATGTTCCTTGATTGAAATGTCTCGATATGGTAAAAGTTCATCTGTCGCTTATTTTCCTCGATTTTTTTTCTCCTAGAGTAAAAGGTTAGGGTTTCACGCGAGGACTTAGCTAGAGCAGGGTTCGGTCACTGGACGAGTCGGCGTACGAGTTGTCCCGGGACGAGCGAGCCTCCGATGCCGTTCCGTCGCTGATGATTCGCAGCCTTTTTGGTGACAGGTAGATTCGAAGCAGCCGAAAGAAACGTCCAGAAAGAAGAACAACAGAGTTCTCCGCTGGCCTAAGCCTCGGAGTCTTGCTGAGAAGAGCTGCTGCCAGAGATATCCTGCTCCTGGCTCCACACGCGTCCCAGGCCGCCTAAGAAAAAAAAAAAAAAAACCACACACACAAAACGTGAACATGAGGACAAAGGCTGTCATGACGAGCAAACCGGCGTCGACGAATTCCCAGGGAATCAGGCGAAATACGAGCGAACAGTTTTTCTCGCCCATCCATCAGCTTCGATTTCATAGATCTCCCTTTTTGACGAAATCGGTGATGCTGTTGTACAGTCAAATCTTAGAAGTCAAACTCAATAAAACCTTAAACAAATTCGACTTCAGGATTGGGGGGGGGGGGAGTTCAAAATTAAGTGCGACAATCAAGACTATGTAAAATTTCGGTCATCATCCTAAGAACAACCAATTTTTTTCCTGGGAAAATCCAAATGATTTGTTCTCATCAGGCTAACGAGTAGTTTAGCTCATTCACTAATACGGTATCTTGAATTACAGTATATAACAATGAAGAAAACAGATTCATTTTGTTCGAACCCCGTTTTCTTTCTGGAATCTCATTTCGAAGGGTAGAACTTATCCATGAGAAATATTGTACCGTATTCTGTAGTCTGTACTAGTACCATGTAATACTTCCCAGTCATTTATATGGGAATTTAAATTTAGAATGAATTGCTGAAATAAATTGACTGGACCTGATCCTACACCAGTGCTCGCCAAAATAAAGCTCAAATGCAGGTCCCATTTTATTGTTTGGTAAGCTCAGCCCATATTTCATCAGAGGAAAAATTTGAAAGCCCTGTTTATATCATGAAAGCAAGTTTTGAGCGTCGCTTTGTGCGACGCGAAGCTGCTGGAATAAACGGTTTACATCAGGTATCATAAGAAGTGATTGAATTCCACCTTCTTTGATCTACGCCATTTCTGCTCCAAGCATAATGAATTTAGCTCGCCATTCTGAATACATCTTCTAAAACTTCCGAAAGATGAAAGAATAAAGTTATTTTAACGCTGTTCCACGCGGCGATGCTTCGTTTCTCTGAAAATGGATTTTGCTACGCGGCATTCGTGAAACAAACGGTATTATTTTATTTTGTATTCTGAGACCCTATAGCCAGGTTATACCAAGCCGGCATCTGGAAATTCGCGAGTGCTGAGACCCCAAAATGCGGACACATCGATATACGGACGATTCAACCTGGGGACACTAGAACATTCAAAAAATCGGGCCCAACATCTAGACACTTTTTCAGCAATTCTAGAAAATTTGAAAATTTGAATTTTTCCAAGTTGTAATACCTCTTAAAAAATTTGAGCTATTTATATTCAAAGAAGTTAAAAATGAAGAGTGCATCATTATATATTTACTTGTATTTATAATCAAGAGCAGGTTAATTTTGTGCATTTTTTTAGCACTCTATCATCTATGAGCAGGATAGCAAGACTTATGCTTTTTTGAAAGCTCATTTCATGCCAGAGAGTCATATTCTGTGAGGATTTCTTCATTATGAATATTTATATCCTGGATCTTTAATCTAAGAAACACATTTTATTTGATTTTGGGGGTTTTTCCCAATTTCCATGAACTCGAGAACCAATTAAATGAGTTCCCATTGAAGTCTACGGGAACTCTATACAAGGTCCGACATGCAGCATTCCAACATAGGGACACTGTTCAAGCACCAATAACGTCCGCATCTCGGGGTCTTTCACAAATACAGTTAATGACGTAATGTGTCAAGATGAGAGGGATGGCAACCGATTCCTATCCAGAGAAATGCAAAAATTAGCAAATATCGAATTACAATGCCGAGTTTCTCAGGAATGGACTGAAATTGGCTTATTGAAGCTGTACTGAAAAATATCAGCATTAATTGTATGCCGACTTCAAGATACATCATGAACGGTCTTTCTTTCGACAGGCCTCTGACACTGCAAACAAAAAAGTGGGATGGAATGAACAGAGAAGAGGTTTCCTCGCCCGAGAGAAGACTTCGGACAAGATTTATTTTAAAAAGACGAATGAAGATAAATTCCGCCTATGCCTCCCACGCCTGACTCGAGCACACATGCGTGTATAATAAGATTCCGATATCTTCATCATAAAGGACAGCCAAGTTTTTATGTTTGGGACGGACGCATGCTAGCCACCAAAACTCCATCTAGATGTTCAAAGGGATACGCATTTTTTTCAGGGGCAAGCCACAAATGAATCGTTTACTTTCGTATGATTTTTATGTTAAATTTCCACGGAGCATTCAATTGCGAAATACGAAAACGCGTGTGAATATGGTCCCTCTGCATATAGCAGCTAGAAACACGCATTTATTAAATACGCCGAATTACTGTCTTTTGGCAGCTAACCATCTAGATTACGACATTAAGAATGGCCAATAGAAATATTGATCCTGCTCATGTACCGTAGCAGTATACCTAAATAAGGAAGCCTAAAAGGAAAAGGGATTTCGGATGACGAAAATTGAAAGCATATGACGCGACTGCGACTGTCAGTGACATCTAGCCTCATCAAGGCACCTGCCTGGAGCGTTATGGACCGTTCAGGAAAATTTATAATTCACGTACAGTTCTGGACATCGTGGGTGAGTGATTTCACGAAAAATGACCTAGACCGCTTCGGACTACAAAAGGGACCCTGATCGAGCCCGGGTTCAGTTTTCCCGTCACCAGAGAAGTGAAGCCCTGCAGGATGATGTCAAGGGCAGAAGCACGTCACTCTTCCGGAAAAGGATATCGGAATGAATCGCACGTTCATGTTGTGACATTGATTTTGTTATTTAAGAGGAGAAGAGATTTTGTTCGATACTCGATGCGATAAAAAGCCAACCTTTCCTAGTTCTTGGGGTTATACTGGCATTGTATACACGTTAGGCAGTCTTTCTGCTGCTAGAGGCCCATCATTGTTTGAATCCCATTTTATTATGCGATTAGAGCATTATAAGAAGGATGATAAATAATGGAAACTTGAACGCTTACATCAATGCAGTCATGCAGCGCAACCATTTCTGTTTTTTCTATTGATCTTCGGAAGAATTCGAATTTAGTTCAGTATATCAGTGTTTTGCGGTGACAGTTTCAAATTTTGAGGATTACTTTTAGTTTGAGCCTTGAAAACGCATTTTTTGAATGGGTTTGCATGAAGTTGTTCATCGATTCTTTGAACAAATCCCTTCATGTTGTAATCTCAAACTGTTAGAGCTGAACGCGTTGAGATACACGATACTGTACATGTTCAAAAACTGTAAGGGCGGGCTCGAAAGAAAAACCCACTTATCTCTCTCACTAAAGAAAAAAGATTTCTAGCGTATCATGATACGGATGTTCGAAACATTACATAGAAAGTCATTTGTCATCAGATGAAGAGCAAAAGCCAATACCATTCATTCCCTTCTTTGAAGGTTTCACGCTGAAACCTTTACAGAAATATACTTGTCAAGACTCAGGAGTGACAGACATTCGTGGTGGAACGCTTTTTCCTTCTTCTTATGTGTGATTTCATGATCTAAAAATGTGTGGCATGAATTTCAGAATCATGGTGCTTGCTGTATATATGTACTTTCAGGTATTTTCTGTTGAATCCCTGTGATCAGGATGATTCATGCGAGTATCAAATGAAAAGTGTTCTAGCATAATAAAAATTTCATATCGTTGCTACATATTCCAAGCTCATAACAATATTTTATTCCCTCTCCACGCGGTTTTTTTTGGGAATCAGTACAATGAATTCTAGGTTGTAACGAATGTTTCTCTGGTCCCAAGAGCTTTACTATAACTAGATTCCACATTAATTTCTTAAAATCATCGGGATACTCTGCTGCTTTTATTTTGAAGATAGGGTGCATGCTTTAATAAAGGCCGAATCTCAAGTACTATTCTTCCAGAAGTAGCCGGTCTCTATTACTAACCGTGTTTAGAAAAATTTTAAAACGGAAAATCACAGCAAAATGCAATTACAGTATTGTACTTTGCACAAATTAAACTATTAAAGTATAAGGTGTTCAGACTGTTCCCAGATAACTAATCATAAATTAAAAATCGAGAAAGAATATTTGAGAATATGTTCTTCTTTCCAGAGATTGATTTTCGTCATGCTCAGAAAAAAAAATGACAATGCAATCTTCCTGCACTTGTATGTTTGTATTATGTACTGTACTGTGATGCATTTTCTTTTAATGCCACAATAGGGAATAATTTTTGATAGGATGGAATGTGTTGAATGAGAGTGTAAGGGGGTGGGGGGGATTGTGAGGCTTGGGAACACTGACTAGCGGCTAATGAAGCTTGTATATCAATCGAGCATTTGTACAGTATGGTCTTATACAGAGCAATCCTCAAGCCGAATACAAGAACACGAAATGAAAAAAAAGCTCAATTATAGGACTCAATTGAGAGTGAAACTCGATTACAATTTTTTTTAATTCAGTGTATCTAATGTAAATACTGACTGATTTATAATGAAAATTGGCCTCTATTAAACGCCAGGAGAAAATCCAATTTGAACTCTCTGTACGCTACGATTTCCTCTGCACAACGAATTCATTTTTGATCCCATAAAAAGGGACTTTTTCCCACGTCATAGGGGTATTCTACAATGGAATTCTCTCTTCAACTCTTTTTTTACCACTTATATTTTGTTTTTATAGAGCTAGAGAGTCCGCCGGTATTTTGAATAAAGCTGGGACCTCTTATATTAGAGCGTGTACAGCGCGGCACAGTGTGCGCAGCATTCCTGCATTTCGTACCGTATTCGTAGCTGATGAGCCACAAATGTGTGCAGATGAAACGAGTATACTGCATTTCGGAATGGAGGAGTCAGTCCTGAAAAGGCGAGAATACTGATAGTGGTCTGCATTCCACATGCTTCACCGTTTCCCCACGGATGGAGCAACGGCTGCAGCAGCTGCAGCTGGGATGCCTTGGAAGAAAAGAGATCAATCTAGATGGCCGCGGTGCTATGACATCACGAGTCCATCGCAGTCTTTAACGTCATACGGAGGGCAAGTTCAGCATTGTAGCGGTCGCATCCCGAGGGGGAACATGACAAAACTCTCAACTTGCTTCTTAGGATTTCTCGGAATCCCGATTTTTATATTTTCCCTCATGCTTGGACATCAATTTCTGAAGGCAGGCGGGGGTCGATGTACACAGTATATGATCAGAAATTGTGTAATTTGAGATTATATCATATAATTGAAACTATGTACTTTAGTATGCGATTCCTGCGAACTGCGTAACGGAGTGGCAATGAGTAGAAGCAAATATTTTTAAAAAGTGTCCTGGAAATTTTGAAGGATTTACTTGTAAATCATCGAGATTCTTGAAACGACCGACTTTCTATTTTCGGGCCTCGGACATTTGCAGTGTAAATCATATTTCAGAAAATTAAGGTCACTTGGAATTTTTTTGTTCGTTCTGCTTTCTCGGGACCTCCAGCAGAATGCCCTGCTTTAATTATAAAACTACAGTATGCCTATAATCTGATTCATATTTTGGATCGCAGAATATGTGGACAGATCTCGAAGTCCGAAAATTATTTTCGAGAAATCGCTCCGTAATGCTAAGTCGATGCCACTTCGTAGATCGATAAGTAGGAACGGCTTGAAATGAAATAATGCATTTTTCTGTACTCCTTGAGAGCGTTGCTGGAGTCAGAACTTCGGAAATCGAAAATAATTCTGCGTCTTTTTCCGACTCCTAATCATCCCTCTATTCTTGAAGTTCAATAAAAATTCATCTTTTGTTGATTAATTGGTTCGTGAGATTTTATATTTCTGAAATTTGTTACCCCATCTTATAGGTGGACTTTCTCAACGACGAAACTCAAGGGACCGGAAAAAATCCTTGTTGAGAGAATTTTTTCGTGGAGAACCCCTCTGACATAGGGATAGAATACTGAAAATAAATTCTTTATGAAGAGATTTTTTGTGGACGAGATTGGTGTAGAGAGTCCTCCTGTATAATCAAATTCCGGATTAAACATTGATGAACTCATCATGTGTGCGTATGTTCACATTATATCAATGCGCCAAGCTTCCGGTGAAATTTTCGGTTCGTTCCAAAGAATCTGGAGCATCTAGAATACTATACAATCCATGATCCAGGAAGATTCGTCACTCCGGAAGCCGTCTGCCAAAAATCACCACTTCGTTTACTCACCCTTGAATAGCCATAATAACTTTTCTTTTTTCAAAAGAACGACCGTGAAAAGGTCGGAAGGGGAAGAGAAGGAAGATGCGCTTCCGGAGATGACGCGCTGAATATTGAAAGCCACATCGAAGCTGAGTCGAGAATCGGAAACGGAACTCCCCCGGGCCATGTTTGTGACATCACAGCCCGAGAATCGACGCCGGGTTTCGCGGTGACAATAGAAAGAGGAAGAAGAAAAAATAGGAACTCACGGATGATATTTTTCCTCAAGCACATGCCAGTGAGGCAAGCGTATTTGTGAGGGCAAAGGCAATCTGCATCCTTGAAGCACGATTTCCCTTCGCTGAGATGACACTGCGCCTGTGAAAGCGAGGAAAGCAGAGTAGAATTCCCGCCTCCCACGCGGCTTCTCGCAATGAGCCGGTTTTTCAATATCCGAGGGCGAGGACAGACTGGGGCTCTAGGATTTCTTCAGCCGAACGCAATTTAGTCGTTTAACCCCGGGCCACTAATTGGAGCTGACTTGGGTGGGGCGAGAATAGCGACTCGGATTTCATTTGACCACGCGTGTGGGTGGCTGTCATATTAAAGGGTAGAAACGGGAATCCGCCAGAGATAAGCTGGTTTCATCACCGTCATGAAACGTTTACCAGAAGAATCTTCTTTTCAACCCCTCTTGTCCATCACAAAAAATCAAGACGAATCCCTGCGTGAACTGCGAAATATTGCTTACCCCGTAACTGTAAATTCTATGATTGCCACTGTCAAGCTAAATATCGTTATTAAGCACGTCCGACTACTGGCTGCACTCGGATTCCGAGAATTATTGTTTCCGGGAGGAGGTGAGGGGTTGCAAGTGGTTTTAGAGAAGAAAAACTGTAGAAAATCTTCTTTAAAATTTATTACAAATCATGCAGACAGAGTGGACTAATCTTTTAGCTAAGGTTCGATCCGAATAAAAAACATAAAAAAATCTTTAGAGGCAGGAAACTAGACTAGGGGGTCTTAAACTCGAAATCGATTGCAAACGAGCTTAATTTTAAAGTGAAATCCGCGTTATAATGCGGCATGTCCTCGAACATTAGAGGAAGAAGTCGCACATGGAGGTTTTAGACGTATTTTGGGTGAAATGCCTTCAACTCTTAAATACGGGTGGGTCGGAAATGTTACTCAACTCCAAGACTATTTATGCTGAACGATGAGATTTTTTCAATCCAGAGCCCTCAATTCGAATTTGAAGTTTCCATCCTCATATACTGTACTTTTTTAGTGCCCTTCTAATGTACGCGTTTCGCTCGTGAAATAAGGACGGCTATTCTAGATACTGTAATTACCATGACTGGCTGTTGAAACAATCGCGGGCGACGGAAATGGTCTTTGACGACATTTTGGTATCTTTCAGCGCTGCCAACTGGTTCTGCAGCGTTGCTATCCGGAGCTTCGTTTTCGGATTGTTCGGATTGATCTTCATCCTCCACTTCCACTTCCACTTCCTCTTCATCATCTTGATCTTGTATCTTGTTGAAGCCGCGAACCTGCGGGAATCGCACAGTATTTCAAAAGATGAATATTGGTAAAAAGCTGTCGAACGTTGTCTTTTGAGTTTTTTTGTTTTGCACGGTTCCCGAGTATTCGCGGCTTTCTTCAAAAAGTCTCAAATTGATTCTGTTGAATTTGGGTCTCATGAGCAAGGTAATAACCCACGAAAAGTACTACAACGAATGTACAGCCAAGAACGGAACGTACTATTTAAAGATTGCCGTCAAGCTTTGTACAGTGTACATGTGAATATCAACAAAATCTCAAGAAAACTTCAGATGTTATTGTAACAGCTTCCTCTAAAATCATTGAAACAAAAACCGAAAAGTTATGCTTTAGCAAAAAATAGAATCAAATATTAGAATGAATTAAACTGGAGAGCACTGACTGAAGCTTTTAGGAAGTGTTTTCCTTTCCAAAAGCTATTCCAGGCACGCTCTCGTGGGTCCAAAAATAGGATATCTTGAGATTATCAGATACCTTTTCTGCTTTTCATCACTGTTCTTCATGGGTGCATCCATTAGTTTTCGTTCTAGTAACACATACAGTACTCGTAAAATACCGAATTTCTTTTATGAATACTGCTGTAGGTACATCCCCTCATTTTTAAAGTGAACATTTACGGATAGCTTGCCGAAAAAATTTGTGAACATTTTTCTTTTCCTGAAAAATTAGCAGAACAGTTCCAAGATTTTAGTTGCTGGAAATAAATAATATGGACATGCCATGCTTCAATAAGCGTGTCGTTTGTAAATAGTTTTTTGTTGTTGTTAAAATCGAAATCGTGCTTACTTTCACTTGATGATCCGTAGAGGTTTTGATTGATTCAAAAGATCCTCGCATTATCTTACTCCTATTGGAGAGTTGGAATTCTCTTGCCTCTGAACTATTGTAATTAATTTAATAATATTGTTCTTTTTCATATAACTTTCAAGCTCTAAAAGCGGAAAGATGATATACTGATTCAAAGAAGTACTGAATGTTACTCGGCTTTTTGAGAATGTGTCTACTCTCCTTCCAGTAGTCTTGAAAGTGTACAAAAAGATCCTCCTGGGTTCAAAAATTAAAATATGCGATCTTACACGCAATTATATGTGAAATTCGATCAAGAAACATAAGGGTCAGCGTTGAATATATTCAAATTAAAATATATTCACGAAGTGAATGAGTAATTGAAAATATTTTAAATTGTGTTCTTGAAGCTTCCTGCGACAATATATTGAAACCCCACGAATTAGCAAAATGCTCTGGACGGAGGATCCTTATATACAGTATACATTTCTTAAGTTGTCTCTCAGGTTATGCAATCAAAAAAGTTGCATAAATGAGATTGACTTGACATATTCATTGCATTATGAACATTAATATTGGCAACAAAAAAGCAAGCACAGTATAACTTGGCTATGATCAAGAAGATGACTGCATTTTTGACTGCACAAAGACCTGGCTGTGGTATTGCTGACCAAAAATCTAGTGTGGTATTTTTTATTTTGATACAACGCCCATTGAATCCAATAAAAAGGGCCCCAGTATCAAGCGTTCCGCCTGTCCTGGGCACTTAATCCTGATTTCGGCTAGTTTTATCAATGCAAAAAAAAGTTAGA